CACCAGCAGCAAATGAGAGTTCCTGCTGCTCCACATCCTCACCAGCATTTGGTGTTGTCAGTGTTCCAGATTTTGGCCACTCTAATAGGTGTGTACTGGTATCTCATAGTTTTTTGTTTGTTTGTTTGTATTGTGGGGTTTTTGTTTGTTTGTTTGTTTTTAACTTTATTGGGGAACAGTGTATTTTTACAGGACCCATCAGCTGCAAGTCAAGTTGATGTCCTTCAGTCTTCGTTGTGGAGGGCGCAGCTCAGCTCCAAGTCCAGTCGCCATTTTCAATCTAGTTGTGGGGGGGTGCAGCCCACCATCCCACGCGGGAGTCAAACCAGCAACCTTGTTGTTAAGAGCACACGCTCTAACAAACAGAGCCATCTATCCACCCCATGGTTGTTTTAATTTACATTTCCCTGATGACATATATGAAACACCTTTTCATATGCTTACTCACCATCCATATATCTTCTTTGTTGAGGTATCTGCTAAGGTATTTGGCCTATTTTTTAAATCAAGTTGTTTTCTTATTGTTGAGTTTTAAGAGTTCTTTGGATATTTTGGATAACCATCAGATGTGTCTTTTGCAAATATTTTCTCCCAGTCTGTGACCTGTCTTCTCATTTTCTTGATTAATGCTCTTTTAAAATTATATACTCTGCTTTTTGCATCAGTTACATATGCATATGATACAGAATCCAAAAAAGCAAAGAGTATACATTGTCCCTTGGCCTCCCAGTTCTCTGCAGAGTCTGCGTTTCCAGTTTGCCAGTTTCTCATCTAAATCTCTCCAAAGATGGTCTATACAAAGATACACATAAACATGTATGTTTATGTTCTTTTTGCTTTTCAATAATCAGCAGCATACTATATATGTATACTTTTCTGCACCATTTTGTTCACCTAAAAATGTATCTTGGAGATGGCACTGTATAGTCCAGATGGAGCTGTCATATATTTTTAAATGGTGACACAGTATTCCATAGTATGATGTACTATTTCTTTAATTAGCCCCCTATTGGTGGACATTTAGATTATGTTACTAACAGTGCTGCAACAAAAATCCTTATAGGGCCGGCCAAGTGGCACGATGGTTAAGAACTGGCTTGGGAATGCCAGAGGGCCCCGGTTCAGATCCCACATATGAGGGCCAGTGACACTGCCCTCTACAGCTAAGATGCTGAACAACAGCTCAACCTGGAGCTGGGCTGCCATGAGTCTCTGGCGACGGCATAGGCTGCAGCCCCTGCTGCAGTGGGTTGCCATGGGCTACCGTGTGTAGCCAGCAGCCAGCATGAGCGGCCAGCGGCTGCAGTGAGCGGCCATCCAGAAGCTGGCGACTGACCTGCCTCACCCGGGAAGAGCACAATGATGGTGCTAACTTGGGCCAGTGAAGCAACGTCCTCCACAACTAGACTGAAGAACAAAACGACAGCAACTTGTCTGTTCCCCTTTCCCCAATTCCCCAGCACTGTTCCCATCCCCCCAATTCCCCAATAAAAAAATATTTTAAAAAAAGTCCTTATAAAATACATCAGTTCCCACATTGGGCAAATATATCTGTAGAATAAATTCCAAGAAGTAGGATTGCTTTGGTCAAAGGGTTTGAGTTTATATATAAAATATTTATTTCAGTACTCATAGAAAGAATGAACAACCTGAAATATTGCCTCTGCTGAAAGGCTTCTGTGGAGTTTATCACAGAAAACATCAAGTGCTTGGCTTTGAAGTATTTTTCTTTCATTTTAATCTACTGCAAGTTTGTTCCTTCTTTCCCCCAATATTTATTAAGCACATTCTGCATGCCAGGCATGTTGGTAGGCTTTGGGGCTAAAACCACAAACAAGACAGACATGGTCACTGCCTTCATATTTACAGTCTGGGAGGTCGGGGTTGTGGTGGGGAGTACACATGTTAAGAAATAATTATACACCAAATCATTACAAAGTGCATCACGTGCTATGAAGGAGAAGTACAGGGTGAACAAAAGCATTTACTGGGCTCCTGACTTCATCTGGGGATCTGAGAAGACTTCCTGGAGGAAGTGATATCTATTCTGATCAATAAGAGAGACTCAGCTAGGCAGGGGAAATGGCAGGTTTGAAGGCTTAGAGGCAGGAAGGAACATGCAATAGAGCCAGCAGAATGAATCACAGGATCAGGAAAGAGCCTACAAGGTCATTTAATTCCAATATCCTCACTAGACATTTGAAGAAACTAAGGTTCAAAGAACTAAAAGACTTGGTCAAGTACAAAAATAGTGGCAGAGCCAATATTAGGACCTGGCTCCTCTGATTTTTTTTTTTTAAGATTTTTATTGGGTAATTGGGGGGATGGGAACAGTGATGGGGAATTGGGGGAAGGGGAACAGACAAGTTGCTGTCGTTTTGTTCTTCAATCTAGTTGTGGAGGACGCTGCTTCACTGGCCCAAGTTGGCACCATCATTGCGCTCTTCCCTGGCGAGGCAGATCAGTCGCCGGCTTCTGGATGGCCGCTCACTGCGGCTGCTGGCCGCTCACGCTGGCTGCTGGCTGCTGGCTGCTGGCTACATACGGTAGCCCATGGCAACCCACTGTCACAGGGACTGCAGCCTACACCGTCGCCAGCGACTCACGGCAGCCCAGCTCCAGGTTGAGCTGTTGTTCAGCATCTTAGCTGTGGAGGGCAGTGTCACTGGCCCTCATATGTGGGATCCGAACCGGGGCCCTCTGGCATCCCAAGCGAGTTCTTAACCATCGCGCCACTCTGCCGGCCCACCTCTGATTTTTTTTTCAGATGATGCTCTGCTGCATAATGCAGCATGGCCATCCTGGGAGCCATGGATCTGAAAATGACATCTATGGAATAATACCCTGGGTTCATGTGGAGTGAGTATTTAAGTTCAGGTCCTTGTGACTAGCAGCCTGACATGTCTATTGCTCTTTACTAGTAAGATATAGTTTAGGCAAATGGCAACATAGCATTCCAGTCTAGTGGGTTGGTTTAGTCTTCAGCATACTTATCTCTTCTGCAAGTTTAAATAATAAATAATGATATTAATAATGGTGGTTACTTATATAGTGCTTGCTATATGTCAAATGCTGTTCTAAGCAGTTTATATGTATGTCATTTAATCTTGACAACAATCCTACAAGGTGGGTATTATTAATACCCCATTTTACAGATGAGGATATTGAAGCCTGGGAAGGTCAAGGCATTCGCTCAAGGTAACAGAGCTAGTAAGTTGCAAAGTAGAGACTCAGTCAAGCCGTCTGGCTTCAGGGCCCCTGTGCTTTCCCCAGGCACTCCCAGTGTCAGCAGTAGGCTAGTAGACTCAGGTCTGAGCCCCTGAGCTGCCTTGTGCTGTGGAGGGCCTATACCAGTCACCCTCAACACTGGCTGTACATCAGAATCACCTGGGGAGCTTGCCAAAAATGCTGACATCCAGGTATCACCCTAGGTCAGTTAAATCGCAATCTCTAGGGATGGGTTCCAATCACTGATGGTTTTGAAAAACTTCCCTGGTTAGTCTAATATGCAGCTAAAGGTTGAGAAACACTGGTATATATAGCCTTATCATTCCTTCTTCCTTTGGGGGATATTAGTTTGAGCTGCTATAACAGAATACCACACACTGGGTGGCTTAAACAACACTTACTTCTCACACTTCTAGAGGCTGGGAAGTCCAAGATCAAGGCGCCAGCAGATTCAGTGTCTAGTGAGAACCCACTTCCTGGTTTGCAGACAGCCACCTTCTTTCTGTCTCCTCACATGGTGGAATGAGAGTGATCATCTCTCTATATCTCTCTTTATAAGGGCACAAATCGCACTCATGAGGACTCAACTCTCATGACCTAATCACCTCCCAAAGGCACCAGCACCAAATGCCATCCCACCAGGGATAGGGGCTTCAACGTATGAAGTTGGGGGGCACACATTCAGTTCATAGCAGGGGGCAACCAACAATACATGCTTGCTTTTGTGTTCTGAACATTGGTTTAGTATGACACTTGTAGAGGCCACCCCATGAGCTTCAGTCGTAGCATAAAGAATTCATTCAGTGTACATGCTGTGTCACATTCAACAATGTAACAAGCTTGTTGAGGCCTAAGATAACATTCTCAGTTCTGGACATCAGGAAACAGTGGCTTAGTGGGGGAGAGCTTCATTCTGCACCATACAGACCCAGATTCAAGTTGATAGTTTGTCTCTTATTTTCTATGATTTTGGAGATTTATCCTTTTGCTGACTCCATTTTTTTATCTATAAAATAGGGCTAATACGATAATACTATCCATTTCATGAGGCTTTTGTGAAGGTTAAGTGAGCTGGAACATGTAAAGCACTTGGTGTAATGCCTGACACCTAACACTCAGAAAATATTGGCCGTCTTTTTACTTTATGACCATCCATGTGACTTATTTGAGCCTGGTTGCAGATGTATTTGGGAAAAGCTACTAGTGACACTGATATTGAGGGGAATTTGGTTTGACATTTACTGAGTACCTGATATGTTCAACGAAGGATGTTAGATCCTGAAGAGCTAGGACACTAAGACCCAGTGCCTGCTCCCCTAAGCTTGCTGGCTGCCAGCCCAGATACTGTACTCAGATAACTTGTACCAGATAGACTGTGCCACAGCAGAGGTCTAAGAAATGGGAGGGATCAGTTAATACGAAGAAATGGGGACACTTAAAAAAGGTCAAGGGCATAGGAGTGCGTTGATCATGTTGAGAGGGTGTAGGTTGAGAAGGAATGGAAAGTGCGAAGTTGAGTCTGAAATGGCTGCTTCCTTCCAAGCAAAATAAGCCACAAATACATGAATGAGGTGTCATAACTTTACTGCATGTTAATAGTCATTCTAAGCCCATGGAACAAGAAGAGCCCTGTGACAGCCATTCTTTGCCATCATCTTGGCCAGGAGCATGGATGGCGTCCAGAGTCCAGACTTGAGACTCCGGTTAATTTGACTAGAACATTTATTTTCTGGTGAGTCAATTGCTTCATCCCATCTTTTATTTCCTACCAGGCTCATAGCCCTACCTTCCCACGTGGAGATGTCCATTTCTTAGTAGCCATGGACTGCTTCCAGCAGACAGTGAAGGCCCAAGGTGTACTGGGGCTCTGGAATGGATGAGCAGCCAACTTACTGAAGGTGAGAGGAGTGGTCAGTCTCTACTGCTTCTCTCCCTCCTCTAGTTCTAGCCTGTTCCTTTGCCACTCCCTCTATAATCTGCATGGAAACGCCCCCTCAAGCACTGATGGTAGCACAAGGCCCACCCAAGAACACAGGCTGGCTGTCGGCCCTGAAGAGAGGGGTCCCTGTGCAGTGTTGGAGCATCTGATACTCCATCCCAGAGGAGCTGAACATTTAGTGTAGAGGTTTCTACCATGGGAGTTCATGGACTCCTAAGGGGAACCTAACCCTCCATCCTAAAATTGTATGTGAAAAAGCATATGCGTGTGCATATGTGCTTCCCTCTGGGGAAAGAATCCACAGCTTTCATCATATTCCCAAAAAAACTCCATGACCAAAATAAATAAATAAAAGGTTAAGAACTCTGACCTAACCTTGCACTAGTTGATGTTTCCAATCAAGAGAAGCATATGTTGACAGGAAGTGTCAGATTGTCTATGTGCATATTAAGCCAGACCCATGCGTCCTCAGGGACATTCAACTGCTCTGCCATTCCTCATCCCCCCACCCACCATCTTCCCAGATACAAAAAGAATTACCATGTTGTATTGTCCACAGCCTTTAACTCAGTTTATCCTGATCCAAGTTGATTGCATGGAAGTTTTCTTTTTAAGATTTTAACATGATTTTTTTAATAATTTTAAACAGTTCCATATTTTGGAGTTATATTTGGCACCTTTGAGTTCTGCAAGAAAACCTGTCTTTACCAAAATGGTTACATTGTGTCTCCTCTGAGCTATCAATTGACCCCAGGGGTGGATCAGAGTTTGAGGCCCCAGGATTTACAGGAATTAAAGAAGTTCCTCAAAACTGGAAAGCTAAAATCTAGAAAACCAACTCTTTAAAACGGAATGGAGGGCTGGTTGAGTGGCACGTTGATTAAGAGCTGGCTTGGGACGCCAGAGGGCCCCGGTTCGGATCCCACATATGAGGGCCAGTGACACTGCCCTCTACAGCTAAGATGCTAAACAACAGCTCAACCTGGAGCTGGGCTGCCATGTCACCAGTGACGGCATAGGCTGCAGCCCCTGCTGCAGTGGGTTGCCGAGGGCTACGGTGTATAGCAAGCAGCCAGCGTGAGCAGCCGTCCAGAAGTCGGCGATGATCGACTGATCTGCCTCGCCTGGGAAGAGCACAATGATGGTGCCAACTTGGGCCAGTGAAGCGACGTCCTTCACAACTAGACTGAAGAACAAAAAAAAGGACAGCAACTTGTCTGTTCCACTTCCCCGATTCCCCAATGCTGTTCCCTCCCCCCAATTCTCCAATAAAATCTTTTTAAAAAAATGGAATGTAATGTGAAGCGCACTGACTGAAGGCATGTTGCAATCACAGATAAATATAGGCTTATAATTGCCCACACATGGAATGATGGGAGGGTACTCCTCTTCTGCTGCTCTTGGAAATGAGAAGATTCAGCCATATGCCACCTGAGTTCCAAACTGATGTCCCTTGGAATACCTGTGCCATGGAGTTTCCCAACATGACCATCTCCAGATGGCATTCCAGATTTTATAACAAAAGCTAGCAGTAATGTTATGTGCCATTTACACAACACCAAAGAAAGAGCATTGCCGTGACACCTCAAAGTAACATGTAGTTGAAGTGGCCGAGCAGAGACCATGTCGAGTGCTCAGTCACAGGGTCATAAGCTTGCACTAACCCACGTGGGCCTAGTTTCACTCAATTTGGCCCAAGACTTCTCAATATAATCTTTCTAGAACTCATAATCTTTGCTGACTTCTAAGTGTGCACACCACAGTGTAAATTATGCCTTATCAAAAGCTAAATGAAAATCTTTAACATTTAAAAGTTATCACTATCATAGTAGAACCATCCTTTATTTAAATTTGAAGCATCCCAGGCTTAGAATCTTGTGTTTCAAGAAGGCAGTTTTTACCATGACTGCTTAATTATGCCCCAAAAGACCTTCTTCCAATTGAAGTCATGTACAATTTAAGTGGCCTGAATTCTCTGCCTTTTTAACTTGCTTTGTAAGCCTACCTGAAAATAAATTATTTAGTCAACTTAAGTTATTCTTACAAGATGTTCCAGTTGCCTAGAAAGGATCAAATAGAATATTTGACACACATACCAAAAAAAATGTAATTTAACAAATACTTCAGACTAATCGATCATCTCTACCAGATTTTTTTAAAATCAAATTTTGGATTTTTCCACCTTGGGGATTCTATGTCAAATTTATATAACCATAATTTTGAATAGTGCCTATCTATGCATTAAAAAACAATATCTAATAATAAGATGGTAATTTATACACACACACAGGCTTTCAGTATGTTGAAATTATTCTTCCCTATAAATTTATTTTCCAAAGAAAAATTAGTTGGTTATTTATTACTAATCTGAGTAATAAAACTATGGCTAAATATATACTGGCCAAAAATCTTTAAACTTTCCTATTGAAATACAGTAATACCTCGGTTTGCGAGCATAATTAGTTCCAGAAACAAACTACTCGTATTTCAAGACATTGCTCGTTTACCAAGTTAAAATGTATTATTAGGTTGGAGCAAACGTAATTGCGGTATTTGCCATTACGAGCAATGGCACAAACCGCTATTACATTTGCACCAATCTAATAGAAATATTTGCTCGTCTTGCGGACCACTCGCAAACCAAGTTACTCGTAATCCAAGGTTTTACTGTATACCAAAATAATTCATTTTTCTAACTTCTGTGGCAGATTGTGTTTTATGAGGAATAGCAGTTAATACACACATGAAAATTTCATCTGTAGCCCAATCTGTTAGTGTTGGCAGGACAGCAAACTCTTAACCCAGACTAAAAACGTCATGGGAACTACTCTTTCTCTTCCTTGAACAACTTTTTGAAAGTTATGAAAGCTGCAAAATTATTTTAATTTTTTTACTAAATCTAAAATCCTAACCTCAGGTTACTTATATCATACCCATATCTTCTGTGTATTCTTACACAGGTATTAGGAGATAGATAGCTAAGCTCTTGCTACAGCCACACACGGGAATGTTTTCTGAGCTGCAGTTTTAAAAAAAAAATTTAAACTAAAATAAATAGGGAAAAGCATATGCCTCATTTTTCTAATTTCAAAACAACCCTTTAAAACTCTAGTTCTGCTCCTGAAATGAACTTCCAGTTATGTATTTGCATTTTCTCAGAGGTATGAAGGGAGTGTTCTACTTTATGGCTGGCAACATGCACCAAATTGGACTAAGTACTTTAGGAGGGTGATAAAGTGTGAGGCGGTATTGACCCAGGAGTAATTAATTTACAGTCTTAAGGAACAAAACTTACCTACATACATGAAATGACTATGATTACAAAGTGATACAAGCAAAGGCATGATAATATAATAACAGCTGTTTACAAGATTGCTAAGGGGCTCCATGTACCAATGATTAATGGGATCATCAGGTGAGAGAGGACAGTAACGAGCAGGGAGTTTGGGAGTTAATGAGACTTGAACTGAATTTTGAAGGAAGTGAGAGGATATTAGTTGGTCAAGAATAAGTTGGAAGGCATTGCAGATTGAAGGCAGGGCACATTCAGTGTCACAGAGATGGAAGCAAGAATAACATGTTTGGGATAGATTAAGAAGACTGGCTTCATACATTTATTCAACTATGGGGCACTCTAGACATAAATCATATAAGTCAGATAAGGTCCTTGCCCTCGTGGAGCTCACATTCTAGTGAAAGCAGCAGTCAATAAATAAATGAATCAACAAGTTAGCTAATTATAGATTGTAATGTTATGAGGGAAATACACAGGGTGCTTTATTAGAGAAATATGTGGGAGTGAGGGAAATATTGGGTTGTCGGAAAAGTCATGATGTATTTTTTCCATGTTTTTCATTGCAAAAAGGCGTCATGACTTTTCCGACAACCCAATATTTTAAATCATGGAGCCAGGGGAGGCCACTCTGAGAGGTGACAGTTGAGATGAGCCTGGGGGGTGAGAATGAGCCAACCATGCAAAGAACTAGGAAGAGAATTCCTGGCAGAGAAAACAAAAGGTGCCAAAGTGGTGCTGGTAGTGGGAAAAGACAGTGTATGGAAAAAAGGTGAGTGTAGCCCAAGTGTGGTGAGTGAGTGAGAGAGTGTATGAGATGAGGTTGGATAAAGGGCCAGATCATATGTGGTCATTTGAGCTGTAATAAGAAGTTCGATTTTACTTTTAAATGCAGCGAGGAATCATTGGAGGGTTTTATGCAGAGAAGCAATACAATCTGATTTTCATTTTTAAAATTTCTCTCTGGTTGCTGTATGGATAATAGATTGGAGGGAAATGAGGCTGTGAGTGGGAGGATCAGTTAAGAGACTATTACAAAGTCCAAGTAAGACATGATGGCTTGGACTAGAGTGGTAGCAATAAAGATGAAAAAGAATGAATGGGTTCAAGACATATTCTAGAGTTGGACTCAGCAGGTTTTGCTGAGCGATTGAATGTAGGGAATAAAAGGATGGAATCAAAACGGCACCTAGGTTTTGGCTTTTGACTTGATTAATGAGGTAGATGATGTTGCTGTTTGCTAATGTGGGGAAAATTAGTGAGGGCCAGAGTTTTGGTGGGAAAGGAATTAAAAGGTCTCTTTTGGACATGTTAAATTTGAAATGACCAATCAGACATCCAAGTAGACAGTTGTCTGGAGCATAGGAGGTCTGTGTACTTGTCCAAACCAGTTGTGGTAGACAGAATAATGACACCCTCCCAAGGGTGTCCACACCCTAATCCCTAGAACCTGTGAAAATTTACCTTACCTGGCAAAAGGGACTTTGCAGATATGATTAAGGTTAAGGATACTGAGATGGAGAGATTATCCTGGATTATCGGGGTGGGCCCAATCTAATCACAAGAGTCCTTAAAAGTGGAAAAGGAAGGTGGAAGAGTGGTTCAGAGAGACTTGGGGACAGAACAAGAGGCAGAAGAAATGGGGCATGATAAGAACTTAACTCACTGTTGCTGGCTTTGAAGACAAAGGTACTCAGGAGCCAAATAATAGGGGTGGCCTTTAGAAGCTGAGAATAACCCTCAGCTGACTGCCAGCAAGGAAATGGGGACTTCAGTCTTAAAACCACAAGGAACTGAATTCAGCCAACAACCTGAATGAGCCAGGAAACAGACTTTCCCCAACAAACTCCACAAAGGGATGCAGTCTGGCCAGACAACTTGATTTTAGCCCAATGAGATCTACATCAGACTTATGATCTCCATAATTGTAAGATAATAAATTTGTGTTGCTTAAGCTACTGCGTTTGCAGTAATGTGTTACAGCAGCAATAGAAAACTAACATATAAAAACATTATTAATAATAATGTCAGGATAATAAGCATAAATCAGAACTGTCCTAGGCAAACGGGGACTAGTCTGGAGCTCAGGGGAGAGTGGTGGCTAGAGACAGAAATTTGGGTGTCATCAGCAGATAGATGGCATTTAAAGCCAAGAGACTGAATGAGACCACCAAAGGAGTAGATGGGAAGAAACTCCTGGAGGAGGGGCAAGCAACAAAAAAATGACATTGAGCAGATGGTGGCTAAAGAAAGGCCTCAAGATATGGAGGAACTGAAACTCCTGTACCTTGCTGTTGGGGATGCAAAATGGTACATTTTACAGTGTGGCAATTCCTCAAATGGCTCAACGCAGAGCTACCATATGGCCCAGCAATTCCACTCCTAGATATATACACCACAGACATGAAACCTATGTTCACATAAAATTTGTATAGCCATGTTTATAGCAGCATCATTTATAATAGGCAAAAAGTGAAAATCACCCAAATGTCTATCAACTGATGAGTGGATAAACAAAATGTGATCTATCCACACAATGGAACTGCTTAGCATTTGAAAATAGTAGACTGATACACAAA